CGTGGGGGTGACCTGGTATTTCCAGAAAATGTCTCTGAAGGCAACGTGTAGGGTGGCCTAGAGGGAAAGTGGGTGAGGAGCCTCCTGTTGGTGTTGAGCCAGAGAGAAGGCCTGGATCAGAGCACATGGGATGTGGCGAGAAAGGAGCTGAACACATCAGTGAGACTTTGTGATGCTTGGAAGGGGTGCAGTTAGAACAGGCAAGAGCAGTGCTGAGCTCCCTGCCTGTGTGGCCTGGAAAGACCAGGGAAACAGCCAACAAGTCAAGGTCAGCTCCTGCCGGGAGCATTTGCCCAGGGGACCATTAAAGGTTTAAATAAAGTAACCCGGGTCAGCTTTGTGGCCCAGGGGGTTAAGCTGCTACTTGGGATGCCAGCATCTCAAATGAGTGTTGGTTCTGGGGTCACTGGGAGAAGTGTTGGGCCACACTCCTTGTCATACAGAGACAAATTATAAAGTGTTCCTGAGGGTCTGGACTTAGTGGCTTCCTCCCCGTTATCAGTGAGTCTGAAATTGGACCTTGGGGCCCTACAAGCTGGGTGCTCTCATTGCTCCCCCTGTGGTGGAGGGGTGCCAGGCTTGGCCCCAGTCTCAGGGTGAGAGCTGCCCTTCCAGCCCCTGAACTTATCACAGTTGCTCTGCTATCTGGAAAAATGCTTGTGGAGCCATCGGTACTGTGGCAGGAGATATTTTTACCTGTCTGTCTCCTAGCCACACTATTTTTTTTTTTTTTTTTACCATTCTCTCCACTTATTTCTCTCACATAGGCTATTCTGAGCTGAAAGAGCATGCGTTGCTAAGTGACGAGCCCGCATCCAAGGCTGGCTCCAGCCCCGTGGCACCACCGTGTTGTCTTGAGGCTTATTTCTTGAATGCTCTATGAACCTTTGTCAATTTATGTGCTTGTGGAAGCAGTGTCACAGCCCACCCCAGCTACTACTACAGGGTGATCATTAGCATGCAGTTGGGCTGCTTGTTGATGCATCTGAAAGCTGCCCAGCAGGCTATGGGCTGGTGGTGGAGGTGGTAGGATGCAGCCTAAAGTTTGCATCTCGCTGGATGCCTGGGGTAGGGAGGGCCCTTCCCACCCCCATGTGCTAGAGGGCAGTTACTGGGTATGTGCTGGGACTTAAGGAGCCTTAGAGATTGTCCAGACTGAGGCATTTTGCACACAGAGAAATTGAGACCCTGGGAGTCGAGGGCAGTGGTGCCAACTTGCACAGTTGCTCGGTGGTTGGTGAGGACCAGCACTTGCCAGCCTCCTGATGCCTCTCATGCCATACTTCCTGGGATGTATGACACACACACACTCTCTCTCTCCTCTCTCACTGTGCACCTGCCACTGGGCTCTGTTTGCTGTTCCTGGGTTTCCCAGGGCTACCTTGTTCCCAGGATCCTGTGTCGGCTGCTCCTCTGCAAAGATTCACCAGGGTCACTTGAATTTCCTCTCCAGGGTCACCTCCTCTTAGGACAACAGCTACCAGCTGGCCTTGACTGCTTTGTGTCACTATTCCTTGTCACTAACATGCACCACTGCTGGCCACTCTGCATTTCAACTGCTTAAGGGACACTTGACCTGTTCAGTTCACGGCTGTACTCACAGTCAGACTAGAGTCTGTTATACGGGGGACATCAGAAAGTGTACACTGTGGGGAGTAAATGAGTGAATGAATGAAACAAAATTCTCAAACCTACGCCATGCCCTTCACCCCATCACAGTCAACTCCCTTCTGCGGAGTCTGACTTGGTGAGTGAGATTCCTTGGGTAAGACAAGTTGGGAGACCTGAGTCGCTTTGGGCAGTTTACTTCTCTCTGCACCTGTCTGCTGTGTGCAGAAATGAGCATATTGAGTCAAGCCAATAGTAGGGTCCCTCAAGCTTTAATGTCTTCAGGATTGACCCTGCTGTCACCTGAGCATGTTCACTGGACACAGAAGGTTCCAGTCATGATGGCAGCCCAGCCTAGTGCCTTGGCTTGCAGGTTTGTACTAACACTTTGCATCCTGCAAGCTCCATGGCCCCTTGTCTTGCTACACATGAGGCTCATGCATATAAGTGGCACCTTGAGAAGAAAAGGTAGCTTGTACAAGGCTTGGCCCTGTGGTGGCCTTCATGCTGCCCCTGCGTGTCCTTCTCTGATATTACTATTCAGTGCCCGCTGCGTCCTTGAGTCCTCCTATTTTAAAGTAACGACTTCTTCCTCTGAGTCTTTTCTCATGCTGCTGACCTGAGCTGTCACCAGGCTATTTATGGGGAAAAGCATGCCTCAGCTGGTCAGCATCAGGCTGTATTCTGCAGAACTGTGAGACTCCCCTTGGGTTTCTGCAGTTGTGATTTGCTTTGATCAAATCCTGCTGTGGGCACTGGTTTTGAAGAGAAGCTCTTGGCTAAGGTATCCTGGGGATTGCTGTCCTCAGAGGGACCCTAACTCTTGTCCCAGCTTGGGGACAGCTCTTGAGCAAAAGGTTGTAATAGAGCTAGACAAACAGCTGTTACTGATGTCTGCACCACTCTTAGGGATACCTTTCGTTTGCTTATAATTTTACAAAGTACTTATTTGGGGCAGATGTTTTGTGCAGTGATTAGTTTACTGCTTGAGATGCTTGCATCCCATATCATGTGCCTAGTTCAGGTCCGGGCTAAAGTGCATCCTGGGAGGCAGCAGATGTTTGCTCAATTACTTGAGTCTCCCACTAATGTAGGAGACCTGGATTGGAGTTCTGGGCTCCTGGCTCCTGGCTCCTGCCAGGTTAAGCCCTGACTGTTATTGTAAGCATTACAATAATAAAATGTTACAATAATAAGAAGAGGTGGGAGATCTCTTTTTGCCTCTCAAATAAAATGACTTTTTTAAATTAATTTTTTTATTTGGAAGGTAGATTTTACAGAGAGAAAGAGAGAGAGAGAAGCTTTTCCATTGGCTGATCCACTCCCCAAATGACTGCAGAGGCCAAAACTGAGCTGATCTGAAGCTGGGAGCCAGGAGTTGTTTTGGGTCTCCCAGATACGTGCAGGGTCCCAAGGGCTTGAGCCATCCTCCTTTGCTTTCCAATGCCACAAACAGGGAGCTGGATCAGAATGGAGCAGCAAAGACTTGTGGTGGTCCCCGTATGGGATGCCAGCTTTACATGGTAGAGATTAACCTCTGTACCACTGTGCTGGTCCCTAAAATAACTTTTTAAAGTTTATTTATTTACTTAATTTGGGCCAAGACCAAAGTCAGGAGCTGGGAACTCAGTCCAGGTGTCATATGTGAGTGGCAGAAATCCAAATACTCTGAGCCATTGCCTGCTGCCTGCCAGGGTCTGCATTAGCAAAGAGCTGGATTCAGGAGCTGTAGCCAGATATTGAACCCAGGCACTTTGGCATGCTACAAGGCTGACCTACATGCCATTGTAACTACTAGGCTACACAGCCACACCACATCCTTAATTCATACCGTGTCAGCATCCTAGCAGCCCCTGGGGGAAGACTGAGAGCTGAAGGCCTACAGATACCTGGTGCCACTGTGACACAATGGGATGCTCAGCTGACCGGCTGTGAAATGTGTGTCCCACCAGGGAGTCCTGGGACCTTCTGGGATGGTTGGCTCTATCCCAGGAACTCCAAAGCCCGAGACCCATGTGCTGCTGGGTTGGAAGAGAGCAGTTGCTTAAGCCTTCACTGCCTCTTGGATGAGGCAGGGGCAGGGAGCTGTCGCTGCTCATCTGGTCCAGGGCTTGCAAGGCCTGGGAAGGGCTAGTCAGTCCCACCCACACGCATGGTCAGCTGCCCTCATGTGCTTGGCCTCCCAGCTTTGTGATGTGGATGATATCTAGCTGGCCTCTCAAGGGTCAGCCAGGAGGTCAGGATCAAAGCTTGTGCCATGCAGCTGCACAGCGGCCTTGCCCATGCTGGTCAGGTGGGAGAGACACAGGAGGGAAGCCAGCAGTTTCTGGAGGCAGCTCATTCTCTTAATAAAGTAATTACGGAGCTGGGTAATTTGCATCCCTAGAAAGATGCAGGGCAACTGCAGGCCGATGTGTGTGTGTGTGTTTAATTTTAACTCCTCCAACCTCCTCCCAATGAGGAGGTGCCTTGAAATACAACAGAATGTGGGGACTGCAAAGGCTTCATTTTCTTGGTGCTTTATTTCTTTAAGGGCAGGCAGGAGAGACAAATGAGGATTGGCATTAGCAGGGGCGGGTTGGCCTCCCCACCCCTCCCGCCGGTGTTGTGCAGATACTATTTGCTGTAAAACTGTCGCCGGAGGATGGAGAAGCAGCTCTTGGCTGGAGTGGCCCTCAGATAATGTCAATGTGAGCAATGGGCTGGGATCTGTTGGCACTGAACAACCTTTTCCAGTGTGTCGGTGCCAGAATCCTTAGTTAGCTGAGTCTGCTCAGCCTGCTGCTGCCAGGAGAAGGAAGAACCTCACAGTGAAGGTCCTAGAGCTTCTGTGAAAGGTCGATGTCACTTTGCATCATCTCAAGACCCTACAGAAGTGTGGAGAATTATCCAGGAAGCCTGGGTGGGCCTGAAAATCTGCATTTCTAATAGGCCCCTGGCGATGTTACTGGACATGGAATGTGTTTTTAATAGAAACCTAGGAAAGGCAGTTGTGTCTACTCTGAGTCCTGTTGAGTGGCTGGAGATAAAGAGGACTCAAGATGGCTAGGTCTTGCCCTAGCTGAGACTCCCTGGAAGGGGAGGGCTGTGGGGACCTCATGAATCCCCTGGGCCCTGAAGAATAGGAAAGAGCACTGTCAGGGCAGGCAGCCGGACGTCTGAGGGCTTGCGTCTTCTGCTGTTGGGGCTAGCTTTCTGTGGAAGTGCAGGTAGAGCCACTAGGGATATTGAGTTTGTATGTACCTTTGGGTAGAGAAGGCAGACAAGTTCAACATTTGGGGCCCCCTGATCCACCTCACTGTGGGCCACGTGGAGTTGGTTGATGGGTTGGGCCTCTTTTGGGTTCCCCTTCCCAGTGACCAGCTAATCCACCCCCTGGCTTCGCAGGTCCCTGGATGAGAAGGCGCTGCCAGCAGTTGGGTCCCACCTCTGTGTGCAAGGGAACGGGGCTGCGTGGCCCAGGTGGCACCGATGCCCAAGAACAGCAAGGTGACCCAGCGGGAGCACAGTAATGAACATGTCACCGAGTCGGTGGCTGACCTGCTGGCCCTCGAGGAGCCCGTGGACTACAAACAGAGTGTCCTGAATGTGGCTGGTGAGGTGGGTGGCAAGCAGAAGGCTGCGGAGGAGGAGCTGGACGCCGAGGACCGGCCGGCCTGGAACAGCAAGCTGCAGTACATCCTGGCCCAGATTGGCTTCTCTGTGGGCCTCGGTAACATCTGGAGGTTCCCCTACCTGTGCCAGAAGAATGGAGGAGGTGAGAAGTGGCTCTGTGTGCAGCACAGGGTGCCCTGGAAGTGGAGGTTGGGCAGAGAAGTGCACAGGTGTACCCGTTTGTGGGGGTGGGGTGGCAGCCCCTGGAGGTGGAGCTCGGGTTTCTGGAGGAAGACTACAGGAACAGCTGTCATTATAGCTAACTGCTGACATGAGGCTGAGGGTGTGTGAGAAAATGTGGGCTCTGGTCCAGCAGCTTCTGGACCTCCATATTCCTCACCTGTTGAGATGGGCGTAAAAATAACTGATGCTTTACAACAGAGCCTGGAGAGCAAGAGGAGCTTTACTCATAAAATACTTAACACCGTAAATGTCCAAGGTACTAAGCATTGTCCTGAGCACTCGATGGAGATTAAATCTCTAAAACTGCTGAGAGTTGAGTGTCTTGGGATACCTTCAAATCTTCCCCCTAGCCTTATGTGGGAGAGCAGTTATGAATACCCTCATTTCTGTGACTATAAAATTGAGGCACGCTTGGCTTGGGTGCCTTGTTCAAGGGTCATATGTGATCAAGGTTAACAACTGTTAGTAAAGTCAGTCTCTAATCTAGGCAGCCTGGACCCTGAGGCTGAGCCTCCAGCAGCCCTAAGACTCCCTGAAGGAGAGACCCTGGTAGTGGTTTGAATCTGTCTGAGGACCTGGCCCAACGTCAAACCACTACTATCAGCCCACCATTTTCAGATCTTACAGAGAGCAGAAACTCCCAAGGTCTGGCCTCCCCAGCACCCTGAAGCAGACTGCAGTTTCCAAAGGCAGCTGACTCTGAAAGCAGGGCAGAGCCAATTGGGAAAGGAAGTTCTGGCAGGGCTGGAGATGGGGCCTACCAGCCCTTCCTTCTGGTCCTGGGCAAGCTGGCCCGGAGGGCCCAAGCTCCCTCTCCAGGGCCCATGTGGCTCCAGGTTAGACCAGAAGCTTATGTCTGTGCCATAGCACAGTGTGTTCATTCTATGGTCACCTGATTCTGCCAGATTTTTTTCCCTCTAATAAGTAACTGCCAGGTAGAGCTACTGGTCTGCACAGCATGGTTGCTGAGCAGATGCAAGGCCAGGTGAAGTGAAGGCTTGAATCTAAGGGTGTAGGATCCTTAAGCTCTGGGGGGTTGTCTAGGAGCCCCTAGGGAATGCAGAACAAACCTGCAGCCTGGCCCACGGCAGACAGGGCCAGTAGCAGGTGGCCCAGCTAGACTTTGCCCAAGATCACTCCTGACCATGTCTACCTAGAGGCTTTCCTGGGCTCTCTGAGGGAGAGGAGAGAAGTCTTCATGGACAGGGCATGCCTGCCTTGCTGACGCCCTTTCCAAGGCATCTGCCTGACCCCTCCTGTCCCACCCAAGGACGCAGGCAAAGTGCAAACCCGGTGATTCTGTCTCCCTTCACCTCCCTGCAGCAGATCACTTTTGCTTTTCTACATCTGCTGCATGTGAGACTGTGAGATGGAGTTAGAGATAGGCCCAGGGTCTAAGTGTGCTGTCTCTTAGGCTCTCGTCAGGAGACAACTTATGAGTGACAAGTTGAATCAGGCTGTGCCTGTGGCTCTAGCTTGTAGCCTCTGGGTTGCCTGCCTTGAGCGGCCTACCAGCATTATTGGATTCATCCCCTCCTGCCATGCGCTGTGAGCTCCATGGCCCTGTGCGCCTTTGTTTGCAGGTGCGATGCAGGGATCTTTTCCCATGGAAGATCAAGAACCCTTCCAGATGGTGTCTGGGCCTTCTGTGGTTGCTGCCTGTGTCTGGCACGGACTAGGCTGCCAGTGGATGGTTGCCTGTGGCCAAGTGCCAGGTTTCATTCCCAGGAGACCCCCAATCCTGGGTTTCATCAGTTGGCCAGGTCCACATTTTGGGGGGCACATGGTGTGTGACATTCTGACTCTGGGGGTGAATGACAGAGCCCCCTGCTTGCAAGCCATAGCCTAGGGGTGCTGGGTGGCCAGAACTGGCTTGACACCTTTTGACAGGCAGGCAGGCAGGCAGGCAGCACAGTGCTGACGGAGTTGCTAACAGGACCGAATTGCTGGCACAGCTGTCAGCGGGGTGCACTCGTCTGTGTCCAGGCATGGTTCTAATTCTCCTGCTAAATGCCCTGTCACTGGGAATCGAGGTTGTGTCTGCAGTGAAGCTAGGGACAGAGTCATTTGTCTCCTGGCATCTTCAGTGAGGTCCTGTCTATGCTATATGATCCTCCCAGCCATGCTCTTCTGCACTGCTAATATCTCTGCTATTCCTCCCAATTACCTGGGCAGAGCCCCTCCTGAGCTCCTCTTCCCCAGAGCTTCCTGGGCTGTTGTATCAGCATCTCACTCAGGAGTGGGGAGGTAGAACAGTGGGAAGTGGGGGTGGGTCAGGCTGGTGTCATCTGCGGCTGCTTCTCTGTGAGTGGGTAGAGGGTATGGGCAGGTGTCCACAGAGTGCCACATCTGCCTTTACCCATGGGTTCCAGGTGCAGTGCAATGGCCGTCTGTCTTTGAGATTAGCCTTGTGGATGGACGGCATTGGCAGACACGTGCTTCCTCCCTTCGTGTTTCATGTCAGGGGAGTCACAGAGGAGAAGAGCGGCTGCTTGGACCACATGCTGGTCTGGGTCACATGTGGGGGTAGGGATCAGTCATGGAGAAACCTCTGGCTGGTCACAATGCATGGCTGGCCCACTCTGTGGCTGAGTCTGTAGGATGGGCCTGCTGCCTTTCTGTCTTGTCCTGTCACATGCTCTAGACACCCTCTGATATCCCACCACCCTCTCCACTAGGTGCCTACCTGGTGCCCTACCTGGTGCTGTTGGTCATTATTGGGATCCCCCTCTTCTTCCTGGAGCTGGCTGTGGGCCAGAGGATCCGCCGTGGCAGCATCGGAGTGTGGCACTACGTGTGCCCCCGCCTGGGGGGCATTGGCTTCTCCAGCTGCATTGTGAGTTGGGGGCTGGGCAGGAGGTTGGGTCCCCCTACTGACTGCCAGGAAAGGTGAGTGGCTGGTATATGAGTGGCTGAGAGCCTGGCTGGGACAAGGGCAGTGAGGGGAACTTCCATGTGAGAATCACTTCCAGCTGGCATTTTAGGACTACAGTCACCCTATTCCCTAGTCTTCCCTGACTGAAACAGAGTATAAGATGCAATTAAGTGAAGAAGAAAAAACAGGGGGATATAATGGAGGTTCTGAACTGTGATGCCTGGGACCCCTCTCTGCTTCCCAGCCCCCCAGTTCCCTAGTCAGGCACAAAGAATGTCTTAATTGGGTAAGTGGATGACTTTGGAAAAAGCCAGGTGAGGGGCTCCTGGACATTTTGTGGGGGAATGAGCAGAGCTGGAGGACTCGGACCACCCAGGAGGTCAACCCAGAATGGCGAGGCTTTGGAACAGTGGGAGACAGGGAGACCTGCCAATCCTGGCTGGGGAGTTTTCTGGGGGCTCCAGGCACATGTAGAGGAGGGTATACTTAAAGCTGTGCATGAGGCAACTGTATATGTCCCAAAGCACACACTTGGGATGCATACTGACATCTGCTTTCAGAAGGGACAGGGGGTGCTGGCAGGACTGGCAGCAGGGCCAGTCCATACCTGCCCCAGGCAGAGACTGGGATGGAGGATTGCACCCTCTGCTCTCATACAAGGCATCAACTTTGCCAAAGACAGGGTGCTGTGCCAGGACTGGCTATGTGTGTCTCTGTGTGCAGGCAGGAATGTGTGTGCTCTCCCACAGGGACTGAAAGTACCCAGTGTGGGCAGCAGGTGTCTCTCTCCAGAGGATGAAGGGAGGAACATCTGCACAGGTACACAGGTGCTTAGGTGAAATGGATGATGCCAGAGCTCTCAGTAGTCACAGGGACAGGAATCTCAATGAGTGTGAGGTAGCTGGGGTCCCCACAGGGGATCTTCAGCATCCCTTGTACAGACAGCAAGGCCCTACCTGTAAAGCACTGAGCCCCTTGAGGAGCTTTGTATCACACCTGGGTTTGATAGTGGACTCCCATCCTGACTCCAGCTTCCTGCTAATGCAGACCCCAGGAGGCAGGGTGATGGCCTAAGTTGTTGGATTCCTACTACCCATGTTGGAGACCTGGGCAGGGCTCCAGACTTCTAACTCTGTCCCTGGCTTGGTCCTGGCTGCTATAGGCATTTGGTGAGTGAATCTGAGAATGAGAACTAACTCTATCTCTGGATTCCCTCCAATGTATAATAAAATAATAAAAAATTAATAAATTTGAACTTCCAGACTATGTGTACTCATGTCTTATTTTAGGAAAATATTTATGTATTTGCAAGGGGGTATAAAGAGAGAGAGAGGTAGAGTTTTTATCTGCTAGTTCACTCCTCAGATACTGACAGGGGGCAGTGCCAGGAGCTGGAACCTCAGTCCAGGTCTCTGGCATGGGTTGCAGGGGTCCAGCTGCTTGAGCCACCCCCTGCTATCTCTCAGGGTGCACATTAGCAGGAAGCTGACATTGGGAGCAGAGCCGGGACTCGAACGTAGGCCCTCTGATATGGGGTGTGGGTATCTCTTCTTGGTGTCAAACACCTGTCTCATGCACTCCTATTTAACAGCAGATTCTGTCAGTGTTACCTGTAGCTTATCAAGAAATGCAGAGTGATGTCTTTCTAGAGGTAGGCTGCTGGTCTTCTAAAAGAGAGAGTAGTGTCCCAAGAGAAGAGAGAACTGAAAAGACATAAGGAGCATCCCTCAGGTCTTACAGCCCACAGCAGCCCCAGGCTGCTCACCGAGAGGATGGGTAGACACTGTCCCGGAGGGCACTGCTGAGCTTGCTGTCCTAAGTCATCAGAAAACGACAGGGAAGCATTCAAGAGCATTCCTAATGGGAAGGGCTGAGCGTGTAAGATGTTTATTGCTTAAAGGACAGACTTTAATATCCCAAGAATTCCTTTGTGGCCAGTGTGACACCAGCTGGGAGGGGCTACAGCTTCTGCCATGCAGCGTTCCATGGCTACCTTCTGGGCTTGGTAGCTGGGCCCAGGCTGGAAAGTAGAACATAGGGCGGGGCTGCTGGCAGTGGCCATGACCCCCTCCTCCCCACCCTGTCACCAGGTCTGCCTCTTTGTCGGGCTGTACTACAACGTGATCATCGGCTGGAGCATCTTCTACTTCTTCAAGTCCTTCCAGTACCCATTGCCCTGGAGTGAATGTCCTGTTGTCAGAAATGGGACCGTGGCAGGCAAGCATGGAGTGTGGGGTGGCCTGGGAGCCTCCAGGGGTGTCTCCAGCAAGCCCTCGCCTAGGAAAGAGCTTAACAGGCCCAGTCCATGGGTTTGGGGTGGGGGGTGGTTCTCACTGACTGTGTCATCTTGGAGAAGTCACATCGCATCCCTGAGCCTCACTTCCCAATCTCAGGTGGATGTTCTTTCTGGCCTAGTACTCTGGCCTCTTACAGAGTTGAAATAAATCACTAGTGTAGGGAGAACTCTGAAAATTGTCACTGTTTTTAATGGTTACTAGCCACTCTGCACTGTTCTGACGCTGCAGAGTCTAGGAGTGCTCTTCCATTACATGCCAGGTCCATTTCATAGATGGCAAAACCGAGGCCTAGAGCAACTGCCTGTGCTCACATTACCCATGTGATCAGTGATCTGGGTCAAAAATCCAACTCTACAGCTCCCAGTTCAAGTCTTTCCCCAAGGACCCTGGGAATAACTCATATTTACCCCTCTCAGCCTTCCAGGAGTGGACATAGGTAGGGATGTACCAAGGGGTTGCTATGGGTGACAATCCAGCCTTATCGGCATGCCCCAAGCCTTTCAGACCCCTGTGGGGCAGAGACGTCCTCAGGGGTGATCTAGGACCAGTATCACCTTCCTAGTGGCCCACTTCTGCTGGCCCCAAGCAGGCATCCCCCACTCCCAGGCCCTGCCCTGAGGCCCCCATGGCCCTTGCTGCTATTTCAGTGGTGGAAGCCGAGTGTGAGAAGAGCTCAGCCACTACCTACTTCTGGTACCGGGAGGCTTTGGATATTTCCAACTCCATCTCGGAGAGTGGGGGCCTCAACTGGAAGATGACCCTGTGCCTCCTCGTGGCCTGGAGCATCGTGGGAATGGCCGTCGTGAAGGGCATCCAGTCCTCGGGGAAGGTGAGTGGGTGACCAGCACCTGAGACCCCCCCACCCTCCTGTGATCCAGCAGGAAGAGAGCTGAGAAGTCTGGGTCCCCTCTCTGCAGGGTTCTTTGGCTGGGCCTGGGCTGTGGTGGCTCAGCGTGATGACCCAGCCTCCCCACCAGAAGAAGGGAGAGGTGGGAGAAACACTACTGCAGCCATGCTCACTCTGGACATCCCCACCCGAAGCATACTTCCTGGCAAACCATTGTCCTAGGTGCCAACTATCTGCTCTGTCCATGTTCCAAACTAGAGGTGCCAACCCAGGGCTATCTGTCTGGATTCCAGGCCCTCGGGTTCCCTAAAAGAGCCTGTTCGGTGCTGAGCACTTGCTGAAGAAAGCCAACAGCTGACCTGCAAGGCCTCTACCAAGCCCCCCACGCCTTGCCCCGGTAGTTCAGATCCCTCTTAAACATGACCCTTCCTTGCTTGTCACTCACCAGTGTTCACAGACTGCCAGGGAGCATGGCATCATAGAGCCTAAAGCCCAACCAAGTCTGCAGAGATGAGGAAGCCGGGGCCTATGGTGGAGGAGGCCCCTCTCCTGACATCACACAGCCAGACTGCTCCGAGCTGGAAGCAGGCCACAGATGGCTGGCTGCACTTCTTTAGGACACTCGATGAGTGAGGAAGCTGAGCTTGATAGAATTATGCAGCCACCAGCCTGCAGGTGCCAAGTCTCAGGTGCTGACACATCATAGCATTTTCTTGGTTCTACCACACGAGGAAGCACATTTGGGCCTCAGTGATCTTGTGTGTTAGGAATTACAATGTCCATTTTAAGATTTATTTATTTATTTTTACTTTGAAAGGTAGATTTACAGAGAGAGAAGCAGAGACAGAGAAAGATCTTCCATCCACTGGTTCATTCCCCAAAAGATCCAAACAATCAGAGCTGTACTGGTTCAAAGCCAGGATCCTGGAGTTTCTACTGAGTCTCCCATGTAGGTTCAGGAGGCACAAGCACTTGAGTCATCCTCATGGAATAGCTGAGACTTGAACCAATGCCCATGTAGGATGCAGGTGGAGCAGAGCCATAACCTATGACACAGGCCCCATGGTGGGAGTTTTATACATGAGGAGTGGGAGGCACTCTGAGGTTAGAAGCCTGAGGCCCCACAGTTGGCAGATGGCAGATGGCAGATGGCAGATGGCAGGGGCTGGCCATCCACTGACACATGGCACTACACTGCCCCAGCAGCCTCTGTGGTCAGCATCTCCTAGACCAGGCACACAGGCTGTGGACATGGGTGAGCAACACTTGTGCTGGAAACCAACACTTCGTCATCCAGAGGGGCTGGGAAGTCTTCCAGCCCTGCTAATCTCTTGGCTGTTTCTGTCAAGGAAGGTCTGAGACAGGACAGCTCCTTCAGAGGTCCATTGGGGTCATGAGACATGGGGAAATGAGGCTGGGAGAGCAAGCCCTGAAGTGCTGAAAGGAGAAAAGGAGAAAGGAGAAAAGCCCCACGCACAGCTGGGCTGACTCCAGCATGGCCTACTGCAGCTTCTGCATTGGCTTGGGGCCACATGCCCAGATGTGTGGTGGGTTTGGCCCAATGCCTGGAGGTTCCAAGCCTCTGATTTCTGCTGCCTGCCATCAGAGGAGGCTCCTGGGGCACAGCTGTGAGCAGGGAGGGGGTGCCAGCTGCAGGAGGGGCTCCGCTGATAGCAGGTCTCTGTCTTCTCTGCAGGTGATGTACTTCAGCTCTCTCTTCCCCTACGTGGTGCTGGCCTGCTTCCTGGTGCGGGGGCTGTTGCTTCGAGGGGCGGTCGACGGCATCCTACACATGTTCACTCCCAAGGTAAGAGCTGGATCTTCCTTACACCTGGGAACAAACACAACTCCACAGAAGAAACAAGAAACACCATGGTGTTGGGCTCCTGACAGCTCAGGAAGGACGCACAGGCCCCATCCTTGAGTTTGCAAGGAGGGAGACAGGAAAACGCTTTGAGAAGGAGAGGGGTGACTTCTGAAATGAGCCCCAGGGAGTAGTGGGATCTCAGTGAGTGCCAGAGGACATTGTCCTTAAAGGGCACCATGAAAGCAAGCATGTGGAAAAGTGTTGGGTGTGCTGGAGGCTGCAGTGGGAAGTCACATTCAGTCCGGATGTGGGGGCAGGAGCTTCATTCATGGTGTTTTATTGTGTAGACCTGTGACAGCATGAACAAAGAAAATGCTCAAGAGAACACTCCTGCTGGGATTCCCAGTGCCGGGGGAATGTGGTGAACCTGATGGATCTGACTTTAGCTGGTTGGGACCTATCAGGCTCTGCCCAGCCCGGTGAGGGAGCCCAGTGGGATCTCTGGTCATGCTTCAGAAGGTGCAGCAGAGGCACAAGCATCCCCAAGATGCATACCCAGCTTTCCCTGAGGTGATCTGTGCCCTCCCCTTGGCCTTGCCCTGCTGTGACCTTCAGACCATGGGGCATAGCTGATGTGAAGAATATAATCTCCCCCTGAGAAAGAAGAGAATTAAAGTGCGGGGTGACATGCCCTTCGCGTTGCCCCAAGCAGTGTTCATCATTTGCCCCAGCAGCTCAGGCTGTGAATCCACCTCCAGATGCCATATGGTCAGAAGACAACCAGCAGGGGCCTGCAGGGACTCCAGCTCACAGGCACAGGGTCAGGGCTCGGCCAGGCCAGCCTGCTGCCTCAGTGTTCAGTCATGTCATACTTCCCATGTGTGCATGCGTGCGCGCGCACACATACATCCATATACACATGCACGTATATACAGGTGCTAATTTACACACATGCACATGAATATACATGTATGTATGCCCACACGCATGCAAACTCATGAAGTTTGCCCACATTGGGAGAGGAATCACATTGGGAGAGGAAACAGATTTAGCAAAGTCTGAAATCTCTCTTCTCCCCTGCTCTGTGGTTGTGTATAGACTTAGTGTTTGGAAATTGGCAGTGGCCTTGGGGCAGTATCACTCCATGGTCATCAGATAGTGCATGACGTTCTTGGATGAAGCCATCAAGTTTCTGTTTGAGCAACCACAAAGGTCTGCTTTGTGAGTACTGTGAATCCTTGGCCCTGTGGTGAGCTGTAGGCTTTCTGTCAAAATGTGATGCCAAGCAGAGTAGGAAAAAATGCAGCCTGGGTCTGGCTGGGAGGACATGGCCATGAGTAGAAAGCCAGGCCCTTTTATGATGAGTTACTTCCACTGAACTGTAGAAGCACCATCAGTGTGCAGTGTCCACTTGAGCCTGTGGGTTGTACTTTTCCTGGTGTGTATAAGGGAATGACGTGCTCCAGGGATGCTCATAAAAGTATAGATGCACCAAGACATCCAGATGGGCTTTTGGTCTCCCTGAACCATGACTGCAGGAGCAGGTGGGGCAGATTCACCAAAGCAACCCGCTGGATTCAGAACTTCTCTAAACATCATTTCAGTTCTGGAGTATCGCAGGCATACAGCTATAGCTAGGAATATAAGAAGCACTCTGAAGAAATAAAATATGATGGAGGCAGATGGAGGCCCTTTAGATCCCATTTCCTTCCTGTCCTAAAGATAGCCACTGTCTTACCAATTCCTGCTGCTGCTGTAACAGGACTGCTGTAGGCTGCATAGTCCACACATAGTAGAAATGCAGAGACATACTGGTCAGGCTGGGCAGTCCAGGCTGAAGCCATCAGTGGATTAATTTCTTGTGTTGAAGATGGCCCTTTCTTAGGGGTAAGTGTTGGGTTCAGCAGTTATAAGTGATCAATATCAGTGTGCATGGGTTCAAATCCCTCCTCTGCTTCCAACCCAGCTCCCTGCTCATGTACCTGGGAGGGAGCAGATGGCGACTCAAGCACTTGGGTCCCTGCCATACAGCTGATGATTGGGACTCCTGCCCAGCCCTGGCTGTTGCAGACAGGAAGTAAAGTAGCAGATGGATCATATCCCAACTCCCACCCTCTTTTTCTTAGCTTTTCTAATAGTAGTAGTAATAATAATGATAATAATAATAGTAATAAAAAAGAGCTGGCTTGGATCTCCTGACTAAGGCCTAAAGGCCTCACCTCTTCACACCATCATGTGCTAACATACATTCATTAGCTTCCTATACATGAATTTAGGGAGACACCGATATTCAGAGCATGGCAATTGCTATCCTGAATATGCAGTTTATCTTGTTAAGACAGTCTTGTAAAACTATTGCACATTTGTTTGTGTCTATATGTAATGTACAATCTTCATACAAACTCTTCAACTTTACATATATGATGTCATGTTCTAGGGATCCTGCTGTGATTTGCTTTTAATTCAGCCTAGCACTGTTTTTCTGAAATTTACCTCTGTGGATATGTGTAGTTATACCCCACTTTTGCTGCTGTACAATATTCCACCCTAGAACTAAACATCTTTATTCATCCTCTAGTTGATGGTTATTTGCGTTGTCCCCAGTTTTTATCACTGCTAAAACCACAATGAATGTTATGCCACAGATTGTCATGTGCACACACATATATTTGAGGATGAAATTGCTCTCTCAAAGGGTGTGAGGTTTTACTAGATACTGGCCAATGGGACCACTTACTGTTAGGAGTTCTACTGAGAACTGAGCAGAGAAATGGAAATGGGTAGTAGCTGGAAGAGACTGGGAGGTTCAGGATGTTATTTTAGGATTTCAGATGGCGATTAAACAAATAACACATCACTGGTGGGATGGTATATTAACCCAGTAGTTTTGGTAGGCAGCTGACAGTTCCTCAAAAGACTAAATGGAATTTGAATTAGGACCCAGCAGTTCTACTCCTAGGCACATAGCCATGAGAACTGGGAATACATGTTCACACCAAGACTTAAACTCATATCTTCCCAGAGCTGTGTGACTCATAACAACCAGCAAGTAAAAATAAGCCAACTGATCACCAGCTGATGGATGGATAAACAGTGTGTGACATGTCCATCCATGGAATACCACCCTACCTTAAAGAGGGATGAGGGCCTGGTATGTGCCGTGGTAGTGAGGCCCTGGAGAAAACTGAGCCAAGCCAGAAAAGCCAGGTACGTGAGACCACATGCTGTAGGACTTCAGCTCAGTTGGATGTGCAGCATAGCTGAATCTGTACAGATAGGAAAGAGTTAAGAGGAGCAAAGGGGTTGTGCACAGGTGCAGTCTTGCTCTCTGGGGAGATGAAAAGTGCTGTACCACTGATGCGTGGGGCAGTTTCATCACACTGTGATTTACTGAAACTAGTTGACTTGTGCCCTGAAAAGAGGGGGAAGTCGGTCCTATTGGAGAGGAGAACTGAGAAGCCCTGGGCTTCCATGCCAAGTGGAGGTGGCCTGGAACAGGAGCTCTCAGAGTCCACAAGGGCCTGGGCAGGGTCGGTCCCAGCATCTGGATGCCAGCTTGAGAGAGGATATGGGGAGGAATTCTTGTCGAGGAAAGAGTTCTCATCAGTGATGTCCTTTTTTCAAAGAACTAGGAAGGGAAGTGATCAGCAGAGAATGAAAGTGGAGGAGGAGGGACTGGAGGTGAGGATGAAGGAAGCATGCGAAACATTAGTGGACCGAAGTGAGGGCCTGCTGAAAGGAAGGGCGCAAGAGTGTGCAGACAACATGTGAGTGGCTACAGCTAACACACCAGGGACTTGAAGACAGACAGCTTTTTTTAGGAAAGAAGATTAATTTTGTGAGAGACAGTGAGATCTTCTTCCACTTGCTGGTTCACTTGCCCAAATGGCAACAGGGTCCAGGGCTGGATCAGGCTGAAGCCAGGAGCCATGGACTTCTTCCAGGTTCCTTATGTGCGTGGCAGGGACGCAAGCACTTGGGCAATCTTCCACTACCTTCCTAGGCATGTTATTAGGGAGCTGGAGTGGAAGCAAAGCAGCCAGTACTCGAACCTGCACTTCAATATGTGGGATGCACGCATCTCAAGTAGCAGCTTAACTTGCTGCACCACAACACTGGCCCTGTTTTTTTTATGTTTGATTATCATCGAAAGCAGGAGGTACTCAGGCACTCGTGTGGTTTCAATGTCAGTGCTGTCCGTGTGCCAGGTCCCCTCCATATATTAACTTATTCGAACTACTGAGTTACCCTAGAGGTAGACATTTTTCTTATTATTAAGTTTCTGAATTATTGTTATTATTATTCACTATTTCACCAAGAGGTTAGGTGGTTGCAGGGCTGAGCATGGGCAGAGAGGGCAGCTCGCCTGGAGCTCTGGGCGATAAGGGCATGAAGAAGTGTCATGGCTAGCAGGCGAGTCCTCCAGGAAGTGGCCACACATATACACATGTGTCTGAATGTGTGTGCTTGTGTGTGTGTAAAATGTATCTATTGCTGGCTGTGCAGACACAGGATGTTGGGGGCGAGAGTCCAGGTGAAGATGATGGCAGGGTCATCTGGGAGAGATAAGTGTGTTCCTTCAATTGCTTGGCACCCAGGTGGGGTTTACAGGCGGAACTTCTGGGATCTCAGTGGCAGAATGAGGGCCTCTGGCAGGAGGGTGCAGGCGACCCAGTTTTGACACAGACGTTGGGCAGGGAATCCCAGCTAATCACCAGCACTTGGAGGTGGGTAAGTCCTCGACTCTTGGGGCTTCAGTCTCTGCTGCCCGACACCAGCAATGGCATCCCTGGCATCAGCAGAGTGCATAAGCGTTTGCTGTTATAATCTCATCCCTTGTGAAGGTGACACAGCTCTCAGGCAGTGGGAGCTCGGCGCTACGGTGCCATCTGGCGTCTCGTGGCCCATCTGGCTGTGAGCTGGCAGGTGCTGCGGCAGTGTGAGAAGCGAGGTGTGTTCCGTTGTCACGCACTGGCTCGGGCGAAGGCCTGGCAGCTGCT